TCATTATAGTTGCTTGTAATAAACTCGACGTTAAAACAGATCCGTGCATGTGTAAATGCATACGTGTATAAGATGCCATGAAAAGAAGCACATGACGTGATGCACATCATATCACATGACACAAACTATTACGATACATAGAAATTATTGATTCTATAATCTCATATGTTAATTTTTACAATTACAATTTTTAATTATAAAATTAATTTTTTATAATTACTTTTTTGCAATTATGAAACATTAACATAAAATTAATTTTTTTAATTTTAGAATCATTTACTTTCCAATTCATCATTAATTACAAATTAATATTTATAAATTTATTTTATTCAGCAGTCAAATCATTTTTTACAAATAAAAATCTCAGAAAATATCTAAACATGAAAGAATAATTTGTTTTCTTGTGTAACTTCTTTAATTTATTAACACTTAGTTTTTATTAAATTTGTGTATATTGTATAAATATTTTTGTTAAAAGTTATTAATATTAACACACTTTTATATGTTAATATTAAATTGTCACTTTTAAATAATTTGTTTTAATTTTTATTATTATATATCTATATTACAATACACTGAAAAAATACACTAAATTTTAATAATAAATCATTAACACCAACTAAATATTTACTAAATATAAAGATATATTCATTTAGTATAAAAATGATTTGATTTAATTATCATTTCTATTTACTTATTATAAGTAAATGTTTAATTGGCACTATTCAAATAAATACTTATTAAATATTTATTAAAATTTAGTTTTTTTTTCTCAGTATATATTCATAACTCTACTAATATCATTACTTATTATTATTGTTTTGTTACTACATTTTTATTTTACAACAAATATTATTTATTATTACTATACACCATTTTTATCTCGACAGTATAATGACTTCAAAACAAGGTTCGAGCTAGATTTCAAATTCTACACGATCCAATTTCGCAAAAATGAGCGTTCTTCCCGCGGAAAAAATACTCATGGAGAGAGGTGTACTATTTGTTGTCAACAGTAAGCTGGCATTTAAATGAGCTCTCGTTTCTGATCTTACGTAATTTGCTGAACGCTTACTTGTGAAGAGCAGGCGATACGACTGCTCAGTCGGTCGGTTGCTTATTCAGCGACACCGTAACCTGTACTTCCTATTTTTAGCTTAACTTATATTCCTTACAACAATATACTTCAGTTATTTTTTCTTTTATAAGAAATTATAATAAAATGCATATATATCAGTAATGCATATTATACAATGAATAATTGCATAACTGTATGTATTTAATTTAATGCAAACCGATTTAAGAAAACAAAATTCTTATTTAATGTTTACAATTTATTGTTTAACTTTCCCGTATAAATTTCATTTAAAACATCAAATTGCAAGGAATAAGTACAGCTACCACGATAAAAATTTTACATTGAAAAAATGTGGATAATTTCACTTAATACTATTGAAATAGCTTCAAAGATGATTTCAAATCTAAAATTTTGCAAAATATTGGTTAGGAGTATATGTATGTGTGTTGAAGTTTATCATATGCGTGCACACACTAAATACATATACATATATGAAATTGAATGAGATAAAGCCTTCCAGCATTTTCATCCTAATTGTCTCGCAACTCTTGTAGAGATGTTTTCTTAATCAAAATTCGTACTATTATGCAAAAGTTAATTAGCAGTATTTCACAAATGCCCAAATACTATAGAGCAGAACTTCCCTCCCAAAATTGTGTGGATCACAATCCACTTTTTAATATGACAAATGTCCACGATATAATATCTAGCTTTAGTAAAAGTGAAAAAGTGGAGGACAAGATAAATTGATTATTTTTATCATTTTCTACTAGTTTACTTCTTTTTAAATCTTTATTAAATATAACTTTATAAATCTATTTCTCAAATACATAATGAGATATGTGCAAGATTAGTAACAAATTGGAAACTATTTTTCACATAACTAAACGATTTGGTTGTTCTCATATAAATAATTTTATGTAAAAATGCAATTGAATATAGTGGTCTACAGACGAGATAATTCTAAGCGGGACATCCGGCTAATGAATTTTTGGAAGACCATAAACCCCCGGTAATAATAGTATTATACAGAGTATTAAATACTCTGTCACGTTATGTTATAAAGTCTGTTATATATTTGAGGAGAGAAATTCGTTTTTCTCTTCTGTCTAGTGAGTAGTTCTCTCAGTTTTTTAGAAAGAAAACTGCTAGGGGATCTTTTTTAACAATCTCGTACGTATCTTGATCATTTAACTTTTTATATAAATGATACATAAAATTTCGTGGAATATAACTTGGCGCTAGCTGTTGATATCTTTCATACAAATCTTTTATACAAATGATATATACATTAGAGTAAAGAAAATGATAAAAATAGTACCACTTGGGTTCTACTTTTTAATTTGGTACAAAAAGATAGTATCACTTAGGTCTTATAATTTGGTACAATATAGAACTAACAGATCTCTTTAAAATCGACCGGCGTCATATCTTCGTTTTAAAAAAAGTAAAAAGTGGTCGTAATAAGACCACTTTTTACGGAAAAAAATTGTTTGAAGTAACGAATCGCGCGTTACTTTTTAAGTAACGAGTTCCTTTTGAGAATCAATAATAAGTAACGATAACTAATTACTTTTAAAAATAATGTTCCAGCCAATGTTTCCTGTATTATCAATGCTTAAAGGTGAAATCACAAGATGTACAATTTCTTGAATGATTAACTTGAACGCTGCTACGCCTACTCCAATGCATAATATAAAAATACATTCATGCATTGAGCACGATACGCTAGTATACATGATTTCTGTAATTATCATAATGCATTATTTCATAGCTTATTTCCTTTCATGTGAAACATTTTCAAATCCGAAATCTGAATATTAGTATAAATATGCCTCACACACGGAAAGTTTTGAGACTTTTTATGTGTATGAGACGCTACGTTTAATATATCTATATATATACGTTAAAATATGTGAATTCCTAACTTTAAAAAGACCATTTTTTAATGAAACACGGTCGAGTGAAAACGTCTATATTCTTACACTGTGCATGCAAGCTAATCATTCAAGAAATCGTGCATCGTGTGATTTCAACTTAACACGCACGTATGCATGCGCGCATGCACGATTTCTATTTATACTTATATAACTTATTTATACAAAAAATACGATTGTATTACAATATAATTATGTATATATATATATATATCTATTCTTAAAAAAAAAGGTGTACTGAACGCATTAATTATTGCTCCTTTTCTGTAATGCTTATCGGTTCTTTCTTTGTTTACTTCGTATTGCAAGAAAACTGTCATCGCGTGGATCGTATTTTGACAGATTTGACACAAACAGTAGGTTGTTGTGATTACATGATTAAGAATATATATTTGTATATTTGTATACTCTTGAATTCCATTTCGTTTCACACATAACGTGCATGTGATACATTATTTTTTTCCTTACTACTTAAATATTAAATAAGGATAAAAGACGTATCATGCGCATTGTGCATGAAAGGAAGTATACCTTTGTTTTTTGTATTTAATATAAAAAGCAATTAACGTCAAAGTATTTAATCAAAAGCTAAATAGCGCTCGTTTGTGATGTCTACTAAAAAGTAAAAAAATAGAAAATCTCATTTCTCAAAAAATCAAATTTTCTTAAACAGTTCAAGTTGTATGTAACATCAATCATTCAGATAGATCAATCACTCAAATTTATGGATTTATGTCAGATATAACTTGAGATATTTAAGAAAACAATTTTTATAGCTTTTTATAGAGACATTTCTATAGCTTCCTATATCCCGAAAACAATTAGTTTTAAAACTATGTTTACTAATAAGGCCTTTAGATATTAAATGGTCAACGAATCACCTTCTGAAGTTACAATATAAACTTAAAATAGATTTTGTATACATATGTATAGTACGTATACATTGCAAATATCCCTCTACTTATGGATTTTCAAATTTATGACCAATATACGTTAACAATAGGCGATTTTCTGTGTAATTCGGGTATAGCAATCAAATTGTACTAGAATGTTTTCGCATGTTTGTTCATTAGTAATAGAGGCATACTTAGCTAGCCTTTAATTCTGTGTCTTATTCTCTCTATGTCTCTTCTATCACATATCAGGTTAGAATATTTTAAAAAGAAATTTTTAAACAGTATCAAATTCGTACGTATAAAAAAAAAACCAATAGTTTTGGCGTAACAATTGAACAGTTATCAGAATAAGCTCCAATCCTACCAACATCTATCAATAATAACTTTGGTACATGTACCAAACGATTGCTAAAAATCGCCCAATACTATTCATCATTCAATATGATTCAATATTTACAACTGAAACTTGAAACATATATAAGTAGAGAGAGTTTCGTATTTATTGTCGCGAGAAAGATAACCGTTATTAATCATCACTTATTAATTTCACATTCTCTCTTATTCAATACATCTAAAGTTGATTTGAATTCAAGAGCAACGAGATATTAATGATCGTTTTAGTATCACGCTTAAGAAGACAGTACGCTAGAATATCGTTTGATTTTGTAAGAACGAAAAAGCGAATGAATGCGTACGATAAATGAAGTAAACAATAACATTACTAGACAGATCGAATTACATAGCATAAATGACACGAATCGAAGAGAGAATATAGTGAATATACAGGAGGAAAGGAAGTACAGTGTGGGAAGCGGTGCATAAAAAGTAGAACACGCGCATCTCTCGATGTGGCACAAAGAAAATGCACGCAGAAGAGAAGTGCGCGAAATTCTCGGGCACACGCACGCACGCAACCGGGCGCCGATAGCACGGATACCACTGTCGACAGCAGGCACAGGCACACATTTCGAAACTCGTATACGTACTATACTAAAGTATATACGCGGCTCCGCGAGGCGCGCCAACTGTCTTGGCTGGTGCGCGCGCGCATGCAGGAAGAAGCCATGATTGCGTGTACACTGCACTAACCTGTCGGAGGCGACTCGCTCTCCCTCGATACCCCGTTTGGCGTCGCAACACCTCAAACTGGCTGATGGCTGAGTATTTTTCACTGCGCGCGACCACACTGCAATCACCAAATTATTCACACTCCGCACGTCTCTATCCCTTTTATTTCTCTTTCTTTCCTTTTTCACCTCGCTCCTCGCGTCTCTTTCCTTTCCCTACGGTCACGCGTTATCTCTTCTCCTTCTCTCCCACCGCTCACTTTTCCCTTCTTCTTGTATACAGTCTTCCCCACGTCTCTTCCTTCAAAATATCTTCTCGGCTCGTCAATTCAACCGAAATGTGCGACGGCGACGGCGTCCGTCTACCGGGTGACCGCCGCGGTCGGCACGGTGTACGAAAGTCACGCGAATATCCTGTCGGGCACACTACAGTCTCTGTACAATCTGTAGAATATGAATCGCACACGATTTGCAGCGTACACGAAAAGAGTTTTCGCGTTTTACGTTTCACCACTCTCGATTCGATTCGCTAATAATGCACACAAATTCTCGCTACCTACGCTCCGGACTGCTGTCCCTTGTTGGAGGAAAATGGCGGCCCCCGGGTAACTCGCGCGCGCCACCCGATGCTCGTCGTCACCGGCCGAGCAGGGCCGAACACGGCCGAGAGCACCCGAATGCTATTGGCTGAACAATACGATGCGTTCGATTCGCTGAATGATTCACACATAGAAACTAGACAGGAGCAACACATTACCGCATCATGCTAAAGAGATGCGTTCCGTTCCACGCATCGTGCGCATCATATATCGTTTTGTCCTTCTTCTTCATCGAATATTAAAGAAAGATCAAACGATACACCATGCGCGAAACGGAACGAACCCCAAGATGTACTTGTATGCGATCCGCTTTAACCATTCGTTTTTACGGAAAGTTCCTGTTTGCGACCTAAAAACGGGATCATATTCATTGAACCCATTTTCCCCATTCAAACTGATCATTCCCGCCGGGTAAAAATAGTGAAATATTTTTGTAAGGGAAATCAAGATTAATAATTATAAACTAAACTTTTTTTTTTTTTTTTTCCAAGGATTGCTTGATAGAATTTACATATCAGAGTACTTATAAATAATTTATTTTTCAAAATTGACAACACTCTCATGTAATACATTAGTTATTTTTATTCTAAAATATTTATCTTATTTTTGCACTGTTCGACAAAAAGTCACTTTTTTTCTCTCCGAAATGACATATCCTGAAGATTTTTTCACACTAAGCACGATGTCATTGGTAGAACTTATATGTAGCACATCAAGATTTTGAGCAAATTGAGATGAAATGTACAAAAAATGGCATTTTTTTATTATCTTCAACATTATTTACAGCTAAATAAAACTTTGTTTCTATTCTTCTAAATCAAATCTATGATATATAAAAGTACAATTTAAGAACTTTCATATGAATTTTAATTCATACGGACTTATTTTCATCAAGTTATGACTGTTTGAATTTCGGACTTTCTGTATAATTACACCGTATATAATTACACTTCTTTTTCTCTCTAAAGTGCCATATAATAGTACATACTCCGAAAATTTTTTTCGCGTTGAACATGATTGATGATCATTAAAATCAATGTAACACGTCCGAATTTAATAAATTGATTTTTAGATCATTTAATCTCAATTCACTAAATCATGTTCAGCTCGAAAAATCTTCGAAATAATATATGGCGCTTCGAAGAGAGTAAATATTCACTTAAGGTCAACCCCTTCAAAAGTCAATGACCTTGACGTATGTGTATATTATCAAGAACATATCCCCGAGTAATAATCCATAGTTTTAGCCGTTCGTAATTTATTAAGAAGTTTTTATAAAAAATACAATCACATAGACGAATGTTAAAAACACACATTTTTCTTAATTATTATTTATAATATTATAGAAGATATAGTGTTCAAAAGTTAAAAACTTAGCGTGGAAGGTTACAAACTCATATAGAACTTCGCTTTACGTAGAAAGTATGTGCAGACCGCGTGTTCCACATCTCTCCGGAGAGGTTTCATTAAGAGAGGGGCAAAATTCTCCGCTCCGAGTCCTGCAAAGCGACAGATACGCCAGATACACTGTTGTTCATTAATCGAATCCCTTTTTATGTATAGCTAGTGTAGGAACAGCCAATTAGGCAATCCACTAGATTGATAACAGAATCCAATTGGCTGACATAACTGTAATTTCTGCACTCTTCTACACCCGAGTGGCTCGATTAATGAACAGCGTACGCTATATACAGGGTGATTCAGAACAATCTCGTGTCGATGGCTGCGTTCAGCAGAGAAAACTAATCAATTAGTGCTTAGCGATTCTTTAATCCCATGACAGCTGATCATGAGTGCTCCTCATAATCGCTCACGTCGAACGGTGAGTGCGCCGTCCCTGCTTATCTTCTATACACGACCCATCCCATAATTAGCTAACTTTATCTTTTAATATATATTATATATTGTTTATCTTTTAATAACTTAAAAAGTAAGCGGATAAAATTTTCATAAAGGAAAAATTATCTCAAAATTTAATCAGGAATCCACGTTTTTACAAGGAGGACAAGGGGTTGTTCTGAATCACCCTATATAAGGACCAATCACTGTAAAAACAGTAAGCCATAGGGTAAGCAATAATCAATCCAATATGATTTTCCTACTGTTTACGTCTTACCGCTAAATTTTTTTATGTACCATAACCTTATGAATGGTAAAATCCATCGACATCTAGAATGGACCGCTGATGGCAATGGTGGGGGTAGAAAGACGATTAGAG